TTCCTGCATGGCAGGGGGTTGGACCCTTGTGGTCTCTTCCAACTCTATTATTTTATGATTCTATGAAAATTGGAGGAAGAAGCATCAATCATTTAAAATATGCAGATTAAATATTACTAGCATAAATCAGAAAGACTTAGAACAACTACTGATGAACTTAGTTTGCAGCAAACTAAGTTCAAACTACTTTAGGGTGAAAGTTAATGGAAAGAAAGTTTATGAAAGTTAAGAAAGAAACAAAATTGAGGGTTACATCCTAACCATAAGAAAACAAAACAAAACCACAGAAGATTTATATAACTTTATACTGAATGATGAAGACATCAAAATAGTTTAAAGCTTTTCCATATCTTGGCTCAGTCATCATGAATCAGAAAGAAGACTGGACTTTAGAAATCAGAGGATGACTATGGAGTGTATCACACAGGACGGATCCCGTCCAGAAACTGAATTTAAACTGGAAAATAACCACAATAGTGGGTAGGTTTTCAGATGATGTTGGGGCTTAACCTGAACAAGAAAGTCAACAAAACCCGCAAAAACGGGTTGATTTTCACACGACGTCAAGGTTAATAAAACTCACTCCTTTTTACTTTCAGCTTTGTTGACTTTGTGTCTGGGTTAATGTCGCGTTAATATTAATGCAAACGCGTCTGAAAATCAACCCACTTTTGCAGTCCCCCCCCCCCCGGATTTTTAAATCCCATTTCTGCATGGGATTTCTGCACTTTGCTACCTGTGTGATAAACTCTTCTGACTTGAAAGGGCAGTTCTGAAGGAACTAGATAATAAAATAAAGATATGTCATGGTAGATAAAGATGTATTATCAATTGTAAAGCTATACAATTGGATACCCATGTCAGGACTGTCCATGCTATAGGGTGAGAATAGTTATGCTTGCTTGAATTTTGTAAGTTCCTTGGCATTGTTTTCCTTTGCTTTGTTCTTTACATCCTTTATTACATGCCCCTAAGTTTTACCCTCGACTTATCCACGGGTTATATCAAAATCCATAATTTTGGCCCCAAAACCTGTCCTCGATTTATGCACGAGGTTGATTTATAGTCGACTATATATGGCAAATCAATATGAATAAAAACAGCACCCTATTTAAAACACTTTCTCAATTCTCATACAAGCTGTTGGGATTTTTTTTAATGGGGTGTGTGTGTGTGTGTGTGTGTGTGTGTGTAGCCACAGTGCAGAATGTAAGCAGTTTGAGACTGCTTTTACTGCCATGACTTCTCACATAGAATTTTGGGATTTGTAGTTTGATTGGGGGCCAGAACTTTCTGACAGAACAAGCTGAATACCTCACCATACAACAAATCCCAGGATTCTATAGGAGAGTGTAACGGCAGTTAAAGTGGTGTCAAATTGCTTTAATTCTGCCATGTGTACCTTTGGCTGCCAACAGAAGGACCATAAAGATGGGATTATTCTAGTTTCCCTACAAAGGGAATCCCAGATCCTAGGTGCAACCACTTCCTACCTTGTATTTTCTTCCTCATATATAAGTTTTGCTATCTTCACACCCCAATATTGCTTGGCCACAAGTCTCTGTTTCTCATCTCTGAAATTTTGGAGGATATAGGATTGCAAACTCTGGGCCATAGCTTTTTTTGGTTGACATCATATCCCGAGTGTTAAAAGATCAGAAAGTTCCAGGCTGCACCTGCACTGCAGAATTAATGCAGTTTGACACTACTTTAACTGCCTTGGCTCTGTTGTATGGAATTATGGAATTTGTAGTTTTGTGAGATATGTAGCACTCTGTCAGAGCACTCTGGCGCCACAGCAAACTACAAATCCCAGGATTCCATAGGATGCAGCCATGGTAGTCAAACTGGTGTCAAACTGCTTTATTTCTGCAGTGAAGATACAACCCCAGATTTTGTCCCAGTTCTTTTAGATTTTATTTTGGAGATCCATGCACATTTTATTTGCTGTCAGCTCCTAGTACAACCAGAAACTTTTTAAGCCAGTTCCCCAGGTTGGTTTATTTTAACCTAGCATAAAATTAGAAAGAAAGAGCTCATCCAGACTGACTGAAAACTCCCATATTTTGTTCCTTTTCTTTCTAATTTTATGCTGGGTTAAAACAAACCAACCTGAGAGCTGATATACATTGGTGTAAAATACACTGCAGAAATAATCCAGTTTGAGACCGCTTTCACTGTCCTGGCTCAGTGCTAGGGAATCCAGGGAATTGTAGTTTACTGTGGCACTAGAGCTCTCTGAGCCAGAAAACAGGGCCTTTGCAGACTGCTAGAAATAGTGCAAATTTAGGCCACTTTAACTGCCCTGACTCAGTGCTAAGGAATCATGGGAACTGTAGTTTATTGTGGCACCAGAGGTCTCTGACAGAGAAGGCTCAATGTCTCAGAAAAAAACTACAGTTCCCATGATTCCCTAGCACTAACCCTAAAAGTGGACTCAATTTGCACTATTTCTGGCAGCCTGCAAAGGCCCTAAATGTCTCTGTGAAGTCACAGATGCAGGTGAAACATCTGGAATACATTATTCTAGAACAGAGCCTCACAGCCCGAAAAACCCACAAAAACTAAATGTCTCTCTTCCCAGAACCCCCCTAGCACTGAGCCAGGGCAGTTAAAGCAGCCTCAAACTGGATTATTTCTGCAGTGTGTTTTGGACCAGTCTCTGATTGTACTGGGAGCTGACAGAAAATAAAACATATCTGGATCTCCAACAATAAAATCAGAAAGACCAGGAACAAAATCTGGGACTTTTCTGGTCTTTTTAGCAGTCTGGACGAGCTGATAAAAGTCTCTGATCATACTGGGAGCAGCGAGAAAATATTCTTGGAGAAACAAAAAAGTGTACAGGTTTCCAAAATAAAACTGGAAAGAACAGGAACAAAATCTGGGACTTTTCTGGTCTTTTTATTGTGTCTTGATGCACACCACAGGAACAAAATCTGGAATTTTTCAATCATTTTGGGTGCATCCTTGATCCACCTTTAATGTGATCTTCTTCTTTTCCTCCTGCAGTCTGCTTTACTGAGTAATGCCATGAGTCACTTTATCTCATGATGTGTCCAAGGAAAGTCTGGCAAGCCACATCATTACTTCACAGCTAAGTGGAAAAAGTCATTTTATTACTTAGTCATTATTATTATATTATATTATATTATATTATATTCCCCTCCTTTCCTTACCCTGTCCCAAAGTGGCAAACCAATAATAATTCTCAAATAACATACATACACATACATACATAAAACCCAGAGAGTCATCGTGATGTACTGGTTTGAGCATTAGTGCAAGTACTGGAACCAGTTTGTTTGCTTTGCTATAATCATAAGGTGTGTTTAAGTGTTGGACCACAACTCTGGAGACCAAGGTTCGATTCCCACTGGGTGGCTTTGGGAAAGTCACACTCTCTCAGCCTCAGAAGATGGCAATGGCAAATCCCCCTCTGAATTAAACTTGCCGAGAAAAGCTCATGATAGGTTCACCTTAGGGTCCCCATAAGTCAGAAATGGCTTGAAGGCACGCAATAACAGCAGCAATCATAATGTGCATTAATTGGAGCCATGTGCAAAAGTATAGTATAGATAGAATTATAAAACAGGGTGCTTTTGAACATATTTGGAGCCTAAGAATATTTTTCTTGGTCCTAATTTCAAATGGGTCGAGAGCCACCATAGTGCAGTGGTTTGAGTGTTGGACTAGAAATCTGGGAGACCAGGGTTCGAATCCCCATTTGGCCATGAAAACTCACTGGACGACCTTGAGCAAGTCACACTCTCTCTAAGTGGAAGGAAATGGCAAATTTCCTCTGACTAAATCTTGCCAGGAAAATCCTAAAGTGACCATAAGTCAGGGCCACATTGAAGGCAACAACATAGAATCCTAGAGCTGGAAGAGACTCCAAGGGCCATCCAGTCCAACCCCCTGCCATGCAGGAACTCACAATCAAAGCATTCCCAACAGTGGGGGAATTTTTGTATTAAACCAGCATTTCATTGGCCTAGGAAAGTCAGTGTTGGGCTGCATCCCTAAGGCAAAACTATCACAGTTTTTTTTTTGTTGGCAAGCTTTGTTCAAAGGAAGTGTGCTGTTGCCATCCTATGAGGCTGAGAGTGTGTGACTCGCCCAAGGTCACTCAGTGGGTTTCCATGGCCACGCTGGGAATCAAATCCTGGTTTCCAGAGTTGTAGCCCCACACTCAAACTACTACAACATGCTGAAAACTCTATGAACCTGTATTAATGCTTAGCTATGGGTAGCCTTGAGCAAGTGACACTCTCTCAGCCTCAGAGGAAGGCAAAAGCAAACCCTCTCTGAACAAATCCTGTCAAAAAAACCCTGGGAAAGGTTTGCCTTAACTCAGAAATGACTTGAAGCCACACAACAAGAAGAAATATATATACAAGCAAGAAAATAATCAATTGGGTTTTAAATCTCCCTTTTGCAATTGCAACAGTTTCCCCAGTTTGGTTCTATGGAGGAACATGTGTGTGTGTGTGTGTGTGTGTGCCACACTCTCTCAACCTCAGAGGAAAACAAAGGCAAACCCTCTCTGAACAAACCCTGCCAAGAAAACTCCTTGATAGAAATCACTTGAAGGCACTCAACAACAACAGCAACAATATATATATAAAAGCATGAAAATAATCAGTTGGGTTTTCCATTTCCCTTTGCAATTGCAACAACTCTCTTAGGACCTTATCCCACGGGGCCAAAAGCAGCAAGAATCCGCTAAGAATCAGGCGCTATAGCGCTATATTTTTCCGTGTGATTACACGATGTCGCTCAGAATCCAGCAAGAAACCGCTCGGAATGCAACATCATTCGGGTTCTTTTGAATGTCGGTTTCAGCGGGCATTGCAATAGCGCGAGCTGATCCATAGCGCTATTATAGCGCTAGCGCCATATTTATACTAGCGCTATAGTACTGCAATGATGCTCATATCGCTTTCTTGCCACTTTTGAGAGCAGCGTGGGATAAGGTCCCTAGTCTGGCTCTACTAGGGGAACATTATTGTGTGTGTGTGTGTGTGTGTGTGTGTCACACTCTCTCAGCCTCAGAGGAAGGCAGAGGCAAACCCTCTCTGAACAAACCCTGTCAAGAAAACCCTGGGATAGATTTGTCTTAAGTCAGAAATCACTTGAAGGCAGCAGCAACAAAATACAGTATATAAAAGCAACAACAACAGCAACAGTATAATAATAATAATAATAATAATAATAATAATAATAATAAT